TTTTTTTTTTGAGTTGGAGTCTCACTCTGTCACCCAGGCTAGAGGGCAGTGGCACACTCCTGGCCACCTCAGCCTCGACCTGCTGGGCTCCTGCGATCCTTCCACCTCAGCCTTCCAAGTAGCTGGAGCTACAGGCACATGATACCATGCCCAGCTACTTTTTATTTATTGTAGAGTTGAAGTCTCACCAAGTTGCCCGGGTGGGTCTCGAACCCATGGGCTCAGGCAATCTTCTCACCTTGACCTCCCAAAGTGCTGGAATTACAGGTTGAACAATCGAGCCTGACTTGAGTAGGAGTCTTACTCTGTTGCCCATACTGGAGTGCAGTAGCACACTCATGGCTACCACAGCCTCGACCTGCTGGGCTCAGGCGATCCTTCCACCTCAGCCTTCCAAGTAGCTGGAATTACAGGCACACGCCACCACACCCAGCTAATTTTTTTTTTTTTATTTATTGTAGAGATGAGGTCTCCCTAGTTGCCCAGGCTGGTCTCAAACCCGTGGACTCAGGCAGTCCTCTCACCTCTGCCTCCCAAAGTGCTGGGATTACAGGTGTGAGCCACCATGCCCAGCCCAATGTTTTACATTTCCAATTGTTTTATGTTATAAATGTGGTTTTCTTAATTTTTATAGTTTGTATTAAAATCAGTTGACAGGACTTTAAATTTTATTTTAATCTATAGCCAACCCCACATCCCTCTACACACATATCTTTATAATTTCCTTGTAATTTATTTGTTGGAAAAAACCAGGTTGTTCTGTAAAGATTCCCCTGGTCTAGATTTGCTGACTGCATCTCTGATATAGTTTAACATGTTCCTTTCTCCTCTGTCTTTCCTATAAATTAATAATTGAATCTACATTAGAACCTTGATTTAAAAATAATTTTTTTTTGGCAAGACGATATCATAGATGGTATTGTGTTCTCCCATCAAGAGATATATAATGACTGGTTGTGTATCTTTTTGTGATGTTAGCAATCATTAGAGTTGTAACAGTTCTGTCATTTCTTCTTTTATTCTCTGGAATTTTTCTATAAAGAGAAACTCATACACAATGGAATATCATGCAGCCATAAAGAAGGACAAACATATGGACTTTGCAGCAACTTGGATGAATTTAGAGTCGATCATACTCAGTGATCTATCACAGAAACAAAGAATAGAGTACTATATGTTCTCACTCATAAGCGGACCCCAACAATTATCATAATACTATAAGAAAGGGATTGGTAGTAGTGGGAAACTGTCAGGGGAACAGGGGTGGGATTGGCAGTTGAGGGAAACTTGAGGGGAGGGAGGGGCACACCTCATCAACAACATACCTGCATAATCAACATTTGTATAACTAACCCTGAATTGTATTGTACCCCACATTTTTAAAATTAAAAATTAAAAAAAAGAGAGAGAAACTTACTGTCAACTGCTCTTTAGTTACCTATTGAAAAATTTTGCATAGGAAAGATAAATTAAATGAATGCCTAATTGTTTATGTACCTGTTAATGGGAGAGTACAATACCAACAAGGCCAACACAAAACTAATGTAGTCTTACTAAAAGAAAAATTCTGATTCTTTCAAAATAATGAGTTGGTTCCCTGGCATCCTCCATGGTAATCACTTAATAGGATTAGATGTTGTATTAGTATTGAGGTTTAGTAGTATTTAAACATGTTTGAGAGATTTCAATCTTCTCCACTGATTATCCTTATTGATGCTCAAATTGCCCCATATTTGAGCACCTTAGCTCCTGAGTCCTCTTGATACTACTCTAGTAGCTTATGATAGTTTCTTTGATATCCTCAGAGATTACAAGATGTTCAGGTTCATTTTGTTTATTTCCTGCTCCAAACGAATCAACCATTACTCCAAGGAGCCCTGGTTTCTTTTGGTGTAAAATGGTATTTTTAAGACCATGATGTGGGTGCCAGGGATGCTCATCACGATTAGATTGGATATTGTTTCTAGGCCTTTTTAACGGACAGATCCAGGAAATCATAAGTAGTTAACTTCTAAAGAGAAATGTTTTTATTTCATCCTGTGTTGAATTGACTGAGTCCTTGTTTTCTTTTTTGTTATTGTATTACTCAAACTATCTTTATTATTTTTATTATTTTTATAATGCATACTACCCTTTTTAAAATCCATTTGAGCAGAGATAAAATATTATAACCTAGTTCAAGCTTGTAGTTAATAAACAGATGTTGCTATATTTGTGAAAATGGAAACAGATGCAGTCTATGAATAAATGCACTTTTTCCATGAACTCAACCTCAGGGTATGGTGGACATTGTCCCTTGAAGCTTTTGTGCCCTCAGTGTGGCATGAGGAAAAGAGAGCAAATAAATCAGCCATGAACAAAGTTCACATAGCAGCCAGCCAGGAACACTAAATGTGCTAGTAAATGGCTAAGCAGATAAGCAACAAAGATATTCTGAACCCAGGTTTCTATCGTGACTGAATTCCAGTCTGCTCCACTGACCAGGAACAAGAGTAAACAGTCAAACCAAGGAAACCGTCACTACACACTCAGCCAAAGCAATAATTACACATCATTGATCAGCTCAGAAGTCAATTCAGATATACTAAGAATTTGAAAAGTTTCAGGCCTCTCCTCTCGCCTTTCCTTCCCAAGGGAATGGGGGAATGGAGACAGCTACTTTGAAGTTGAGGCAGTGGAGAAAACGTTCACAGAGTCATGACTGAAGACCTGTGTTTCTCTACAGGTGGTGACTTTTGATGCATGGGGAGTAAGTGGCCACAGCAATCACGTTGCTCTGCATGAGGCCATGAGGTATGATTCTCTGGGGGATGGATGCGGGGGAGGGTTTGTGCATTTGTTTAAGGTTCACGGTACAAAGTCTAAAGCACCTTCCTGCTTATTATCTGAGCCCCACGAAACTCACTACTGGATTGTCATAGAGCCCTTGTTGACTGTTGTTTACTACATCTCACCATGTTCTTTCTGAGAAATCTCTCTCAAGTCATAGTAAGGAATGCTCGTCTCCTAAACAGATAAATTTTTTTTCTTACACCTGGATCCTGAAAATGGGATAATTAATTTTATTTCTCTTTCTGCTTTGGCCACAGAAAGCTTTAGGGCCAAATTTGCAATCCCTGTAGCATATAGACAAGACTTTAAGAATGAATGTTATTCATCAGTGTGCCTCCTGGCTTCATCTTTTTCTACCCTTACTTTTTTTTTTTTTTTTTGAGTTGGAATCTCACTTTGTCACCCAGGCTGGAGGGCAGTGGCACGCTCATGGCCACTGCAGCCTTGACCTGCTGGGCTCCAGGGATACTGCCATCTCAACCTTCCAAGTAGCTGGGAACTACAGGCATGCGCCACCATGCCTAGCTAATTTTTTGATTTATTGTAGGGATGAGGTCTAGTCAGGTTGCCCAGGCTGGTCTCGAACTCGCAGGCTCAGGCAATTCTCTCACCTTGGCCTCCCAAAGTGCTGGAATTATAGCTATGAGCCATTGCGCCTGGCTGCTTACTTTTATTTCCCTTATGTATTTGTACACTATCTCAAGTCTTTTTTCGAAGAAGGATATATGTATATAACATGAAAATTCATTTATTCTTCCCACCCTATTTTACTGATATTTACCTGATTTTATCAGTAAAAACAAAAAAATGGAACGTCAAAGATATTGTGTGACATAGCGTCATAAAAACATAGACCATGTTTCCTGTCATCTAGTGATGTGCTTCTCCTGGGCTCCTGATCAGCAGAGTGATGGGCCTGTCCTAGCTACTGAGGAAAGAAAGGGACAACTTGAAGGGAAGGATTTTAATACCTCTTCTAAACATGCCCAACGTTCTCAGACTGGAGCAGCAGTGTGATATATAAAGTTGGAAATGACCTCACCAACCATTAAGTTCAAGCCTCTTTTTGCTGAGGCTGTGAGGTGTTGTGTCCAGCACTAAAAGACTAAATGATGGCAGAGGCAAAACTGGGATCCAGGAATCCTTGTTCTTCATTCATTATTGTCAGATAGCTTAGGTACCTTCAAATTCAGGAAAGACACATCCTATGGTTAGTCTGAGATGCAATTGTTTTCTGAAGATACATGGAGAAATGAGGTAGCCCAGGAGTGGTCATTCCAACCACATAGTTACTCTGAGGCCTTGGACTTCAAAGACTGGCATGGACAGCAGGCCCCATGGAGAAGTGGAACAATGACTCTACCTCATTCTGAATGCACACTGAGCCTTGTGATTTCTCACCAACGATTTGTATGGCTTACTCCAGTAATCCCAGCATTCTGGGAGGGGAAGATAGCTTGAGGCCAAGAGTTTCAGACCAGCCTGGGCAACATAGCAAGACCTTGTCCCTACAAAAAAATTTAAAAAATAAAAAAATAAGCTGGGTGTGATGGCACATGCCTGTAGTCCCAGCTATTGGGAAAGATTGCCTGATCCCAGGAGTTTGAGGCTGTGGTGAGCCATGATGGTGCCACTGCACTCCAGCCTGGGTGATAAAGTATCAAAAAGTATCTTTTTTGTTTTGTTATCAAAACAAAAAAAAAGAATCAGATCAAGTCTTTTGCAAACAACCTAGAGTATTTCAACAGGCATGGTTCCTGGAGTACTGGAGGTTGATCCAGCTGGTCCCATCCCTAGTCCAGTCACCACTGAAGTGGAGAAGCAGGGAAGGCTTCATTCTGGGCAGAGAACCCAAAGGGACAGGTTTATTCATATAGAACTGCCTGAGGCCATTTTCCTTCCAAAGAGGCTGGAGTACCACAGGCTCTTAACACTTGTGGGCCCTCTCTGTGATCTAAGGGGGGCACTGTGCTTCAGATAAAATAACTCATGGACATGCCTACCAATCAACTAAAACAGTTTTCCACAGCCATCCCCTGCCTACCAAATTCATTAGACTCATCTTAGTCCTCAGGTGTCCTGACCTTTCTGTGGCATTTGGCCCTGCCTGTCCCTCATTGAAATGCCGCTTTGAGGCTGGGCTCGGTGGCTCAGCCTGTAATCCCAGCACTTTAGGAGGCCGAGGTGAGTGGATTGCCTGAGGTGAGTGGATTGCCGCTGGTTCGAGACCCGCCTGGGCAATTTGGCGTGACCTCATCTCTACAATAAATCAAAAATTAGCTGGACGTGGTAGCGCGCGCCTGTAGTTCCAGCTACTTGGAAGGCTGATACGGAAGGATCCCCGGAGCCCA